TGTGCTACCATGCCTGGCCCTTTTTAACATTTTGTTGGTTTTGATTTGCCAAAGTACTATTTAGAAATAGTCCCTCTTCATTAAAGATATATGTCTATATTTTTCCTTTCTTCTAAAGCGTTTTTCTGATCTTGGCATCAGAATGATGCTGGTGTTCTATCCACTCAAAAAATTAAATACTTCAAAGAATTTGTATAGATTTGGTACTGGTATGATTTCTTGCTAGAGGCTTTGATATGATTTGCTAGTGGCCTAAGTGGACCTGAGTTTTCTTTGTAGAAATGATTTTATTTATGAATTCAATTTCTTAGTAGATAGTAACATTCTCCTGATTATCTATTTTTTTCTTGTGTGAATTTTGGTAGTTTGTGAATTTAAGAACTTTGTCCCTTTCATGTGAGCTGTTGGATCTTCTGGCACAGAGATGGCCATGGCCTAACACCAGCCAGTGCCCACATGGTGACATCATCCACCTCATTCTGGTGCTGGAAATTTGTGACTGTCTTATTTTTTCTTAACCAGTTAACCTAAAGGCTTATCAAGCTTATTGATCTTTTCAGAAGAAACAGCTTTTTGTTTCTTTGATTCTTCCCTATTGTTTTTCTGTTTTCTGTTTCTAGTCTTATTATTCCCTTTCTTCTACTTTTTTTAGCTCTAATTTTCCATTCATTCTTAGAATGGAACCTAAGCTCATTCTTTACTTTATATACAAAGCATGTTTCTTATAGACAACATACAGTTAGTTGGGTCTTGTTTTTTAAAATCCACCCTGAAAATGTATTTTTTAATTGGTGTAGTTAAAGCACTCACATTTGAGGAGGTCAGTGACAGATTCCTTCTACCATATTTACAAATGTTTTCTGTTCTTGATACTTGTCTTTTGTTTTACTTTCCTTCGCTCTTTCTGTCTCCCATGAGTTTCACTGAGCATATAGTGATCCTATTTCATCTCCTCCTTTAACATATCGTTTATGTTCTTTTAGAAAAATTGAAGCAGGTACCCTCGCATTTGCAGCACTTGCCTGTCCTCAAATAACACTCAGTGCTTTGAGCTTAGTACAGGCCCCTCAGCAGTCTCCACGCCTGCTCCTGTCCCTACGGCAATGATAAACGTTCCTTTCCTTTATCTACATGCTGTGGTCGCCTAAGTTGTTGCTACCGCTGTATCTTTAAACAAGCAGCTCTTTTAGATCAGTTAAAAATAAAAACAATAAACAGTTTTACTCTATATTCTTGGATCCCTCTCCTACACGCTTCTTTTTGGAGACCTGAGTCTTTAACCTCTATCATGTCCTTCTTTGTAAAGAATTGTTTTACTATTTCACACCGAGTAGGTCTGTTTGGCAGTAAATTCCCTCCAGTTTTGCTTTTATGTTTGAAGATTAATGTTGCAGGATATGGACTGCTAAGTGGATGGATTTTGTTCCTTCGGGATTTGTCACTGTTCCCCTCTCTTTCCCGTCGGTGTGGTTCCTGAGGGCACCACAGTGACCTTCGACCCTGGATGTGCCTGCGTTTCCCCCTCCAGCCCCTTCCCGGCCTGCCCTGAGGCCTTCAGGCTTCAGTAGCCTTCAGATGATGCTGGAGTTCTGGGAACTCATCCAGCTTGGTGTCCCTGACCTTCCTGCTTCTAGGAGAGAAGTGGGGTGGTGTGTCATTCTGCCACATTTGTCATTTACACAGGGTCTGTCACGTGACGTTTCCCACACATTTATCAGGTGTAACATTATTAAAATGTGTGTCACTTTTGTCACTTGTGTTACAAGTGTCGCTTTCGTTGCACGTGTCGTGTGTTTCACAGTGAATCTTTGGTCTTCCTCTTGGTTTCCAGGCGTGGAAATCCTAGTACCCTTGGTCTCTCCAAAGTAATAAATGCCTCACGTGCTCAGTGGCTGGTGGGTCCAGGATGGGGCTGCCAGGCTCAGGGGGCTGGGACCTCAGCCTTTCCAGGAGCGGGAGGGCTGCAGGTTGGGTTAATCATCAAGGGCCAGCAATTTAGCCAATCTGCCCTGAAACCTCCAGTGAGCCCTAGAGGATGGGGTTCAGAGTCACCCACACAGCAGAATGTGTGAGGGTGCTGGGTGGTAGCCCCTGGGCCAGGCATGGAAGCTCTCAGCCTTAAGCTTGGTCCTGTGCGTCCCTCCTTCTATGTCCTCTGCTCCCTTCTGTATAATAAACCAGCCAGTGGAACTGGGGTAAGGTGTTTCCCTGAGCTCCGTGGGCCACTCTAGCAGGTCAGTTGAGCTCGGTAAGACAACCCTGGGCTGGAGAATGGTGTCGGAAATGGGGACCCTCAGCCTGTGGGGTCAACACTCTCTCCAGGTAGACAGGGTCAGAGCGACCCAGCTGGCCCTCCACAGTCACTGTCTGCACTTCTGGTGTTGGACGTACATTGTGAGAATGCAGGGGAGAAACCGAGCTCCATTGCTTTTGAGAGTGTAGCGGGGAAACCCTATGTTCTCAGGGGCTGTTCAGCTGAATCCTCTTTACCCTATGTATTTCCCTCTTAGTAATTTTCCATCCATTTCCCCTCAGCTGCTGCTGACCCCTGGGAAGAGGGGTCTCAAGAGAGAACCAGCCTAATTCGGACTCAGCATGGGCCAGTGGGAACTGTTTAGATTCACACCAAAACTGCGCAGAAAGTGCAGGGTTCCCACATGTTTGCTGCCCCATCCCAGCCCCCTTACTATCAGGTCCCAACCGCACTGGTGCATTTGTCACGACCCCAAGGTCTCCAGGACTTCGTCAGCTTGCACAACTGCACCTTGTGCCTGTTAAACAGGAGAGCGTCCCCACATCCGAAGGGGTACAGTCCAAGGACCCCAGTGGATACCTGACCACACACAGACCAAACCCTTCAGACACTATTTTAACCCTGTGGTTACTGTTCCTTCTCCGCATCCTGAAGCATCAGAGTTAATCTGCCCTCACGTTCTGTGAGCTGGGACCTCCGCTGCAGGACTGCTCTTGAGGTCTGGGGCCATTAGTAAGTGACACGAGGGTCACTGGAACACAAGTGTTTCAACACTGGGACCGTTGGCCTGATAACCAAGAGGGCCACGAAGTGACCGGAGGGCAGGAGCCTGTGTGGCATGGATGCTCTGGGCAGTAGGACAATCCATGTCCCTGGTGGAAATATCACACTACGCAGAAGGGAAAGCAATTTAGAACTTACGTGCTGCTTATTTCTTTATCTTTTTTCACCTTTTTAAATTCTTATTTTTTTTTTGACACAGAGTCTTGCTATGTAGCCCAGGCTGGCCTCTAACTCCCAGCAATCCTCCTGCCTCAGCCTCTCGAGTACTGAGATTTCAGGTGTGCGCCACCACACCAGCTTATATGTTGCTTATTTCCAAAATTTTCCATTTAACATTTTTGGACCACAGTTGACACAGAAGACTGAAACTACACAGAGTGAAGCTGTGGACAGAGATTGTACTCTAACCCCCTTCTCCTTGCCTGGCCCCTGGCGTATTTCATTTAACATAGTTCCTCAGGGCTGATCCATGTGGCAGCTTGGGACAGAACTTTCATCCTTTTTAAGGCCAAATAATATTCCATGGTATGGAAGACTACATTTTGTATTTTCATTCCATCCATGCACTGGTGAACCCTCGGGTTGCTTCTATGTGTTAGTTACTGTGAATGACGCTTCTGTGAACGTGGATGTGTGGGTATCTCTGAGACTCTGCTTTTGATTCTTATTCTTAGCTAACCCAAGGTGGAATTTCAGGATCCCGCAATGATGCTGTTTCTAATTTTTTGAAGAACTGCCATTGCAACAGCACCCTTTGGCATTTCCACGAACAGTGAGCAAGAGTCCCAAGTTCTCCATCCTCAACAACACAAGTTTTCTTTTTTTTTTATATAGTAGCCATGTTAATAGTGTAAGGTACGTAGTACGCTTTTTCTCTGCTTCTCAAGTTTTTCCTCAAAGCCCGGTGTCTTTGAGCCGATGGGAATATGCTGTCTTTGGAACCCCGCAAGCGCTCCACGTTCTGCACCCCTCCCTGCCTGTCTGGGGAGCCTTTCCCCCGGTTGAAGGTAGCGCGGAGGAGCCTGTCCGAGGCTGCGTGCGGCCGCCCACGGCCCGGCAGCGCGGACGGGGCGCTTCCCCGCAGCCCGGCGAGGAGTCGCAGGAACAGCGCACCGCAGCAACGCGAGCTCAGTCACGCCCAAGCTGGTGCACCACGAGCAGCCCGGGTGCCCGGTGAGGTGGCCGGCCCCAGGCGGTCGTTCCGGGGGCCACCTCCGCCAGTCCTCGTCCACGAGAGGGCGCGCGGCCCCTGCGCCGCCTCGGCTCCCGGGCCGGCCTGGGCTCGGCTTTCCCGGGCTGCGAGTCGGCCCTTGGCGCGTTCTCGGGGGCTCCGCGCTGCCCCGTCTCCTTCCTGGAGCGCAGCGCAGCTCTAGGCCCGCTCCCGCCAGGACCCTCGGCCTCGCTCAGTGCTCGGTGCCCCGGGGGTTTTCATGCACTTCCCTGAGCCCTGGGAGAAACCTTCCCTCCCGGGAGGACGCCTCTGCGCCTGGCTTTGCCGCGCCGCGCCTCATTTTGGGCCCCTGGCTCCCCAGGCACCTCCGGGCTCCCACAGCTCCTGCTCTGCAGCGACCAGCGGCGCCGCTTGGGCTCGGGCCTGGTGTGCGCTCCCTTGTTCTGCGGGTGCTGGGAGACACTCAGGGTCAATAAAGGGAAGCATTAGCCACCGTCTCCCCAGGTCCAGGACGGCTAAACAGTAATGCACCTGGGGAGAGTTGAAGCGGAGGCGGCAGGTATGGGAGGAGCTCCTGCACCTCGGCCGGCTCGGGGGTCTTTAAAACACAGTGCGCACGCGCACGGACACGCACACGCCCTGTACACCGGCACCACTCCCAGGCTTGGCTTTGGCTTTAGCACCTTCTTGTTCAATTCTCATACTAACCCAGTCTCTAGTTGGCAGCCCTGGCTGTCTGCCCCAAGTCTGCTCCCGAGACCTCCTACAGAACCCGGCCCAGTTTGTGGTTACCTGGTGCTGGTGACTCGATGTCAGAGGCAGCCTCCTTCAAGCCGCCCATCCGCCTCGCCTCCACTGAGACAGCACGGGGAGTAGACCCCGGAGGTGCAGGGAAGGGGGCTCACAAGTGGCCCTGGCCCTGAGGAAGGGTGATAGCCGTGGCCTGGTGCTAGACCCCAGCCTTGCCTCCGGAGAAACGTTCCGTCTTGTCCACAGCTCCATGGAGCGGGCCTCACAGGAGACTGACGCAGGAAGCCAGCGCCTACGGTGGGAGGGCAAATCAGACACGGGCGGCAGTGGGCCGGGGCCAGGCTTTCGTTGGTGGTCGTGGCTCAGAACAAGTGGGGAGGGTGTGGCTCCAGTGCCGACAGCTCGGGTCGCCGTGACACTCAGCGACAGTGGGCTTCCCGCGACCCCCCACCCGGACGCCGGAGTCAGTGGCCACTGTCTGTTCTGACGCTTGGCCCTGCGCCACGTGCATTAGTGCTGCGACCACCACCCTTAACAACACGCACGGCGGCACCTGCTGGACGAGCGGGGTTTCCGGGGCCTGACAGCTGTCTCCAACAAGGGGTCTTTCAGAGGCCAAACACCTAGCCCGGGGCAAGCTGGAGGGCACTCAGGTGCTCACTGGTGCCTGGGGGCCACCGCCAGTTTGCCCCAGCGCCTGCCTCCCTGCCCCCGGGTTGGCTGCCTCTGAACCGCGACGCCCTTCCTTGCGTAGCCCCGCCCATCCCGGGAGGCGCTCTTGACTGCTTGCCCGCGGCGAGCGTGGCTGCCAGCGTGGCTTGCGGGGTGTGGCGGTGCAAAACAGTCACGATTCCCGTCCTGCTGGGTTCTAAATTCTGAGGAGACAGAGGAGGACCCGGTGCGGTCCTCCTGGAGGAGGGACGTTTCCGCAGATGCTTGAGGAGCTGGGTGAAGGGGAAGGGCAGCGGAGGTGGAAGGTGGACGCGCCAGGCAGCATTCGGGAAGACCGAGACGTGGGAAGAGTACGCGGTGTGGCGGCAGTGGGAGGCGGGAAATTTGGGATGTGGTGGCCAGGTGAACACACCTTGTGGGCTTCTATTTCCGGGGAGCAAAATTGACCAAGAGCTCCCGCTGCTTGCTCCAAAGCCAGGCTTTCCCAGGCCAGGGGCTTCCCTGGGCCCAGCGCTGGGGCAAGGACTCCAGGGTGGCTTTGCTGAGCCTTCCTCAGGCAGAAGGGCAGGCCGGGGCACGCCTGCCTTCCGCCCTGCCCTCTTGCTCCCAGTCCGACTCCGGTGAGCCCCCTCCAGCCCCCACGCCTGTCACAGACATTCCCCACGTGAGGTCCTCGCCTGTTTAACCCTAACCACTGTGCGCTCCAGGAAGTTCCGGGCCAACCTGTGGGGCTTCGCTCTGGTGATAATGTGAAGCCACCGGAGGGCTTCAAAGGAGGGCGCGACGTCATCCCATGCTATCTGGAAAAGTGTGGAGGATTTGATAGGAGGGCCCCACCGGGGTCAGGAAGGCCTGTGGGAGGCTGCTACCTCCGTCCAGGTGAGCTGGCGTGGGCCAGGAGCCGGGAGAGCAGATCTTAAAATGTGGCCGGATAGCGGAGCAATTTAGGAAGAAGAGGCGGCGCCTGGTGACATTAAATGTGCAGCAGAGGGAGGGAGGCACTGAGGTGAGCCTGACTCGGGACAAGGGAACGGAGCTGGCTGGGTGTTGTGCCCAGGCCTGCCTGGGGCAGGTGCAGAGTCCAACCAAGGAAGTGAGCTCTGTCAGTCGGGTGGCTGGCTGCCCTCCTGGCCCTTGGAAACATCCTTTGGGCATACCAGGCAAGGTTTGCCTGAGTTCATGCTCACCAAACAACCTTCCGGTGGCTAATTTGGTGACACAGGCCTTCAGACACCAAGCGGCCCCTCTGGAAGGAACAGTGCTCTTTACTAAGGAAACAACAAATGGACTGGCATTCTGGATCATTCCTAATGTCACGCCCATCTGCTGATCCTGAGCCACCACCATCTCCGAGCCTGGGTTACTGGCAAGGATGAGACTAGATAATGGGCTTTCTGGTACTGTGACAAAATACCTGAGAGGAACAACTTAAAGGAGGACAGGTTTGTTTTAGCTCACGATTCCAGGGGATTTGGTCCATGGTTGGCCGGCCCCACTGCTCCTGGTCTGTGGTGAGGCAGGACATCACGGTGGACAGTTGTGTCAGGGGAAAGGCGTGGGAGCCAGGAAGATGTGAGAGAGAGAAAGAGACAGGGAGACAGGGCTGCCAGAGGCGCAGAGACTGGAACAGCACCTCCTCCACAGTGTCCAGCAGGAATGCCAAGCTGTGGGCACCGTGGTGTCAGCCCAGCAAGTCTCACCTCAGGGCTCCAGGAGAATAAGTGTGCACTGCGTCACGCTGCTACACTGGTCATAAGCTGTGGCAGCAGCATTGGGAAACGGATATGCACACCAACTATACTGTCACCTTTTCAAGTGATAACAGCAAGATTTTTAAACCACACACACACACACACACACAAACACACACACTTGGCTTTCCATAGTTGCAGGCTCCTCCTTGCAGATTCAAACAACCAGGGGTTAAAAATATTTGCAACAAGTCAGATGAAGAGGCACACTCCTGTCACCCCCAGCCCCACAGGAAGCTGAGGAAGGACAATTCCAGGTTCAAGCACAGCCTAAGGAATTTGGGAACTTAACAAGACCCAGGGCTAAAAATTTTAAAGGGGTGGATGGCGGCTGCAGACATAGTTCAGGGTGAGGACCCAGGTTCAATCCCCAGGATGGTCACAAATAAATAGCAAATGAATTGCATCTGCACTGAACTTGTATAGACTATTTTCCTTGTCGTTATTCTGCAAACAATACAATATGACCACTCTTGGTGTGGCATTTACATTGTATTGGGCATCATACGTAATCTGGACAGCAGGTTTTACATGTCCCTCTCATGCCATTTGGATAAGGGACTTAATCAGCACAGACTTTGGTATCCAAAGAGGCTCCTGGAGCCACACCCTAGGATATAGAGGGACACCTGTGGAGACATATGGCCAGACTGGAGCAGGACTGAATGCAAAGCAAGCTCTTCCCAGCCTTGGGCAGTCCCCAACCCCTCGGGGCTGTAACTCCTTGTTCTGGTAATGTCATCCTGTTCTCACAAGAACTCACAAGGCTCTGTCTCCTCTCAAGGCTAAGGCCCAAGGCCGTTAGGTGTGATAGTGGCCAACTGCCTTTGTCAGGCTCCTGTAACCTTGCCCCTACCCCGTTTCATGTCACTGGAAAGACCACCCCCCTTCCACCAAAGGCATAGAACTGGAACCTTCTCTGTTCATCACTCTTCCTTTGGACAGGAGTGTGTGGAGCTGTGTTCACCTTAAATAAACCCTCCTGATTCCCATGGGTCTCTTCAGTCTCTTAGAATTCTGCAACAAGACCACTGTGACTCAAATGTGGGGCCGTGGAGAACACTGCGTTATACTGGTGGTGCTCAGCATCCCCTGAATTCATCCCTTTCCACTCTAGAGCCTTCCAGGCCAAAGCTACCTCTCCCAGCATCCCTTGCAGGCAGGCCCGAGCTAGTCCTAGCTGGACACCCCATGTTCCACCCGAGGCCCTCAGCTCTGGGCAGTGGGCACAGGTCCTGGCAGTGGTGACACCTCGGTACCCAGGCACCAGCTGCACCTGTCCTCAGCCGGGCTGGGTGGAGGACTGGAGCACCACGCAGGGTCCAGCCTCGAGGCCTGGCACTTTGGCCTTCCTAGGGGTTCTGTGAGCCAGGCAATATCCTTCCACAAATCGGTTTGCTCCTTAAGCTTGGGTGTGGATTCCTTCCTTGTAGCTAGGAACTCTGATTCGTCACCGAATGAGGTGGCAGTGGCCGTGGTCCTGGCACTGGAAGGGGAAGCATTTGCCTTTTCAGGCCGGCAGAACTGGGCTAGGACACGGAGCCGAAGCAGGTGCACACAGCTGCTCCTCCTGCCCGGGCAGCCGAAGGCCGTGTCCATGCAGTTGTCAGTGGGGAAGAGGGACAAGGCAAGGGACACTGGCACCACGTCGTGGGTGTGGTGATGACGGGCCCAGGCACATCTTTTGGACTGAGCTGCTCAGGGCCGGCAGGCTGTGGTCTGGGAGCAAGGCCTGAGGTCTCCGGCTTCCCTCCAGCTCTTGCTCAGGAGCCTGGGCGGCAGCTGTGAGCCACAAGGGAACGCACGAGTGTGCAGGGGCTGGAGCTCGCCGGGACACTGCGGGAGATGATGGACGAGCGTGCCCCCACCCAGCTTTCCTTCTGGGCTTCGTCAGGATCCGTCCTGGGGTTTCTGTCTCTCAGCAGCTTCTAAGCACCCAGAAACCTCTGTGGGGTCGTCTCTGGAGAGAGATGTTTATCCTGCGCCTTTACTTCAAAGGATGATCTCGAGACCAGAAATAAGGATGCTGACCAGGAAGTTCAGTGAGTACAGAGACGCAAGGAGCAGAAAAGAAAGCAGCTAGTACTGTCAACTGCAGTGCAGGAAAGCATAAGAAAAGCTACACCAGGCATGGTGCTCACCTCCTGTAATCCCAGCACTTGGGAGGCTGAAGCAGGAGGATCACAGTGAGCTCCAGGCCAGCCTGGGCTACATAGGGTTCATGGCCAGCTTGACGCAGGGAGACTCTGCTTCTCCCACCAAAAAAAAGAGAGAATTAGAGCTACTAGCTGGACATGGTGGTGTAGGTCTGTAATCCCAGCTTTCTGGGAGGCTGAGGCAGGAGGGTTAAAAGTTCAAGCCCAGCCTGGGCAATTTAGTGACTTAGCAAGACCCTGTTTCAAAAAATTTAAAAAATTAAAACCAACTGGGGATATAGCTTAGTGCAAAGGCACTCAGTAGCACCATCACCACCAAAACAGAAGTAGCTAAAAAGGCCAAGGTCATGTCCTCAAGTGTCCCCACGCCACCCCAGAGGTGCTGCGCTGAGTCTCCTTGGGTTTGGGTCTTACAAGGATCGAGCAGGGCAGGTTGGGCTCGCACGGATTCCCTCGGGCAACGCTCGTGCAGGAAGGCTTTTCCCGTCCGCAGAGCAAACGCAGCCCCTGCGCCACACACCCCTCCGGGCGCCTCCATTCCCTCGGCTTAAGGCCAGACTGTCCCAGGTCTTCGGAAGGTAACGTTCGGGCCCTGTGGATAATTCGTAATTCAGTAATAACGGCCACAGTATTTCATCAGTTCTTTTCAGCGGGTCTTCAGGGCGCCATTCCCACCGCGGGGGAGGAGTCCACTGGCGGGCAGGGGCGCGCGGGCCTCCTCTGCCCGGACTGCTGTCTCCCTCACTCAGAAGTCTGGCCCGAGAGCTTGCCGGGCCGGACCCTGCCAGTTACAGGCTCCCGTGCGGTCCGACAGAACTAAGGCTGCCGGGCAGGGCCGTCCAAGCCACTAGCAAGCGCCGCGTCTGGGGGCAGTGGAGGGAAGGGGGAGGGAAGGGGAGGGAAGGGAAGGGGGAGGGGCAGGGGGAGGGGGGAGGAGGAGGAGGAGCAGGGCCCGGTGCTCGTCCAATCGCTGGTTTCTGCCACACGCCTGCGCTCTGGAGTGTTCGCCTGGTCAGGGCTGGGCGTGTGCGGGAGCAGAGAGCCAGGCGCCGGACGCCCTCTCCACAGGCTCTGCCCAGGGCCGGGAATCTGGCCGAGCCGCCAG